GGGGGGCTGCGGGCTTGGCAGTGAGGAGGCCCTGGAAGGAAAGGGAGGTTCTGCTCCTGGAATCAGCTCCAGTAGAACAAACACACATTATTATAGATCAAATCAGGGTTTTTTTTGGCTGTGTGGGTTCCCTCTGCCCCGCCATGGGGCTACTGCCCCCCTCTCCTTCCTCTCCTCAGCTTTAGGGCTTCCCCACACAGCGAGGAGGAGGAGGAAGGTGCAGGGCTGGGATAGTTCTCATAAGACATATTTAGCGATGTCTTTCACCCTCTGCCTCTCTCTTCTGTACATAGACCCCCCCAAAAAAACCCTCTCTAGGGCAGAGCCTTCTGAAAAGACAGTTTTCCTTCAGGAAAAAAGCAAATTCCTCCCCCAATTGCACAGAAAGCAATTACTACAAGGTTTTACTTGTACTTACAGGCAGGTAGGATGGCTCCTTTGCACTTGCCAGAGTGAAATCATTGTTTTTAAAATAGAGAAAGGTCATTTAACACCCCAGATAAATCCTGGATGCTTTCCTAAAGATGTAAGCAGGAAGCTCCTAAACCTGGATGAAATGTTTGCGCTTCCTCCGTCCATCAGTTGGCAAGGGAGATGCAGAGAGCAGAGGTAGGCTGGAGAAGAAAGAGACGTAACTAGGGAGAAAAGAAAATACTTCCCTGCCCTTTAAAATAGGAGCTGTTGGCACGACCAGGACAAGCAAACTGAATCCAAATTGAGTCCTGGCCAAATTATGCCTTAAATTATAACTCCGCTGTGGATGCTATAAAATCAAGTTTAACTTCTGCTTGATGGATTCGGAGAAAGAATATAATATTAATAGAACTGGGAGTTAATAAAACAGGACACACTGCTCGCTTTAAAGGCATTTCCCTATGAGAAAACAGACCTGAATTTAACTGCTTTGCTTTGAAGCCAAATAGGACTGTTTTATAGAAAAAGAAATTATCATGCAAATAAACCAAAAAGCAAAGCAGAAACATGTAAGTACAGTAGTTTGGGAAAACTGCCATGTTAGGAGGAGCAGGAATATTTGATTGTAAATCAGCAACATCTGGTTGATAAGAAATGACATCTGTGTATCCGTCTCTGTCAAAACATACGCACTGACAAACGCATGAATCCCTACAGACACACACACGCTCGCATCCCAGCAGACACATGCACACTCACGCAGACACCACTACATATTTTACACACACCCCCCTACACATTTTACATACATCCCTCCCCACCCCCCGACACACGCATTCCTCCTCTCGCTGCACTGAATCGTTGGGGAAACGAATAATGAGTCGCTGTAGCCCCAAGATAAAGACCCAACTGAGAAAGATAGAGCCATAAAAATAAACCGGGGAATGATCTACCCTAAATGGCATCTCCCTCCAGGGAAGGGAATAAAATTTGTAGCTTGCCCCAGTGCAGATGGAAAATAATACCAGGGCTGCGGCGGCGGCACGCAGCTGATGCTGTTGCAGATGCTGGCTGTGCGTGAGGGGTAACATCCTTGAGCTGAGCTGAGTGGCAAGTAGGGTCTTTTCCACGGGCAGAAATCCCAGTTCGGCTTTCACAGCTGAGATGTTGCTTGGCAAAATATATTTTTGTGTTGCAATGCAGACTGCATTTCCCATTGCTGTAAATGTTTGCAATCCCACTGGTCTGTGTCTGTCTGCATCAAGCTCTCCAAGGAGGGTCTGCCCATCCATCCCCGCATCTCTTTGCCAGTGTGTTACCTATTTTTTCCCATTTACAACCATCTCTCTCTCACTTTCACCCATCACCTGTAGCGCATCCTTCATACAAACTTCCCTATCACACACCATTTGTATACAGCAACATATTTTACACACAGTTTTTACACACCCGTGTATTTTACATACATATCTATAGACACAAATTTATGTGTGTTTGAGGTTTCAAGAGCGGTGTTATAGATGAATTCCATCACAGTATTAATTGTATGACTCGCCCATAAATGCATCCGAGTCTCTGCTTCCACAGCTTATAGAAATACCTGCCCGATTTCAGATCCATCAATTTATTTCAAGAGCACAGCTGCAATCCCAGTGTAGAGTTTGTGCTTATTTCCCCTGATATTTTAGACAGCCTGAAAAGATATTTAAGCACACTGGGATCTCCCCCTCCCCAGCCTTACTCCCCAAAAGGAGGCTTAAGTCATGAAGAAAGTTTTGGTAATGTTTTCAGTGAGGTTGTCAGCAGCTTGGTCAACCACCTCCCCCCTCTCTCTGCAACCCTGAAAAAATACCCCAGAAATATTGAGGTGTTAAAATAGGTCACATGCACATTTCATTTCCTTGCCATTTACACAATGGGTGCTTGCAATCAGATTGATTCCCAAATATTAACTTCCCCTGCAGTTAAGTACCATTTTGCCGTAGCTTAAATCATTGTGTTACTAGCTCATATTTATTAGGTACTAGCTCTCTGCTTAGGACCAGGAAATGAACCCTAATAGACAGAAATAATTAAGGTTCTGCCCTCATGAGGGTTCTTTCAAAAGCAAGAATTCACAACAATTATTCTCATTAATTTTTACAACCTACTTTCCCCGTTAGTTGGACTTGGGCTTTATATTGGTTTTCCCCCCTTAGGATATCCGGTTTTATGCTGATTTTTTTTTTTCCCCCTAAGTTATTTAACATTCTTGGTAGCCCAAATTCTTTTATAAGGAAACTGTCCCTAGCTGGGATGCTATAAGCACCCAGAAATGTTATGTGCACCACAGCAATGCAGAGAAACAGGGAAGGGCTTGGCTGAAGACTGATCTGATGCACTCGGATGGGCGTAGAGAAACATGCTGGTGGGTTTTCTGAATATATAGGTTCATCCCACCCCTGGAAAGACCCCAGTACTAAAAGAGTGCTGTTAGGTTGGTCAAGTCAACTGGTGCTCCATCCTGTCAAATTTTGGACAGCTGCCTGTGCTGCTCTCCTGCAAGCACGTGGCCTTTTGCCGCTCCATGGAGGCATCTCATAGTGTTGTGTAGCTGATGGAGGCGTCCAGGTCCTTGGGCTTGGGATGTTTTGCCCTGAGAGCTCAGTTCTCCTTGGCTTTGGTTGCACGTAGCCATCTCCATTACTTCAGTAGAGACCGTCAGCTTGGTGGCTCGGTTGACATCCCATGGAGTGCCTCTGTGCATAGACTGGACCCCAACCAGTCCCCCACATCAGCCCTGCACTGCTGTGTCCCCCAGGCTCTCCTTGTCCAGCCATAGAGATCTTCCCATCTCCATGGCAAGAAGGGGCAGCCTCTTTCCTTACTCAGGGCAGGCTCCTCTCCAAGGGGGGGGGGGTCCCCCAAGCACAGAGAGGCAGGGGTCCCTAGGGTTAAGCGAGGTGAGACCATGTATCTTCTCTCCATGGCCAGGACTGGTGGCCCTGTGCAGCTTTCGGTCACTCGGGGGCCGTGGTGAGCTCTTCTCCTCTTGCTGACCTTCGCTGCGGCTCCTCACATCTCTACTCTCCAATGCTTTGGTGGGCAAATGCTTCCTTCAAGAGGTCTTGTGTCCTTCTCAACCTGTGTCTGAACCAGCCCTGTCTCCCTCTGCCCCTTTGTCCTCCGTCTCGTCTCTGGCAGCCCTGGGACAGGGTCCTTGGTGAGCCCTGAGCCCCCCACCCCTTTTGGTCCTTGATCCAGGCCCCTCCCCTCCTGCAAAGACACCCTATCTCCCTGCAGCCTCACTCCCACCTCCTGTCCCACCTCCTTCCCCCTGACCCAGCACTGTGCGAGGTCTGTCTCTTCTCATCCTCTGTTCTTGTCTCTCGGTTCAGCCAACAGTCTCCTCAATGAGTCCCTCTGTCTTGTAGCAGCACCTCCAACCAGCCCCTGGCTCTCAGTCCCTCCCATTTCCTTCATTGGCTTCTGGGTTCAGCATCTCACCCCCTGCCAGCAGCCCCCCCTTCCCCTGCCCTTTACCTTGGGCTCCGAGTCCCCGCTCCCCATCCAGCTCCTCTGGTTGGCTCGGCCAGATGGATGCAGTCTCAGCAGGCACCTTGTCTTCATCTCTCCTTCCCACTGCTCTGGTTTGGCTTCCTCCTCCCCACTGACTTGGTTCCCACCTGGGCTACGTGAGAGCGCGAAAGAAAAAGGCTCTGTGCTTTCCAGCCCGAAGCCCAGCCTCCCAGTTGCTCCCAGCACTACCAGCTGCCGCGGTGGCTGGGATGGTCCTGGCACATCTCTGCCGTGCTGAGGAGGACCGTGGTCACCTGTAGGGCAGGGACAGCACATATCCCCGCAGCCTGGGGAGGTCCATGTGTGCTCAGCAAGAGGGGATCACCCCAACCTCTGCATTGCTAAATAGGGTGACTGGAGTGGTGATTTTTTTTTTTTTTCTCTTGCTCAGGCTTTTAAATTGTCCAGATGGGGCAGATGTTCACAAAAAGAAAGCTCAGAAATTAAGGATCCTCCTTTGCAGAATGTGAAGCCCCTTTTCCAGAATGCCCAGCCTTTAGCACAGTTTCAGAAAAGCCTCCAGAACAGTCCAAGAGGGGCAGGGTGGTGTGTTTTCCCTTAGTTGAAGTGCTAAAAAAAAAAAAAAAAAAAAAAAGGGACTGGTTTGGTTGATAGTAAAATAAGTAAATAAAAAGGAGCTGAGGGCCTATATCTGGTGTGGAACATTTCAGAGCTAAAAAAGTTTTGTAAAGTTAGAAACAATTGAGAAAAACCTTACTGTGGCAAGTGCTTGACAAAAAGTAGCACTAAGTGATAGCTTTGACCCTGGCCATAACAATATTCATGAGCCTGCAGACACACATACCCATATAAATACATGGCTGTGCAAAAAAAAAACCAAACCAAAACCATATTCCCTCGACTTAACTAGATGCAAAGCTAAATTTTATCATGCTGGAGCTAAAGATGCCGTTGGACATGTCTCAGCAGAAATGCTTTGTGGTCCGTTAGCCCAGAGAAAGGAGTAGAGAGGAGCGGCGCTGAGATTTCATTGGGAACTGTCGCTTCCCGTTAAAGTGAAGATGAACCCATAGGTCAGACAAGCCCTGAAAAGTGTAGATCTGGAAGGCTTCACCCCGGAAAGCTCTCATCTCAAAAGGGTCTGCAGCAGCTCTAGAAATCAGTGGTCAGAAGCGAACTTTGCCATCGGTTCCTTTCGGTAACAAATATATAAACAAAGCCCTACAGTTTTATTGAATCTGTGCTGTGTAATTTAGCCCTGGGCATTCTGTCTTAACGACCTTGCAGGACATTGTATTTTTTTTTGTTTTGTTTTTATTTTTCATGATGTAATTGTCATTTGACTTTCTGACAGCTTTTTCTTTCCCCCTCCGATGAGTTACAGTCAACTAAACAGAGTCTCGCTATGGCAAAGTTGATCCAGAAGAAGGTTATTTCCACCCGTTCATTTGCTTTTCCACCTCTGAAATAGTTTGTAAGTCAGCCAAAAACCAGCCAAACAAAATATCTTCCACAGGCTGTTTTCTAAAGCAGGGATTCACCAGCTTTTTCTCTGTTTTCTATTTTGTTGTGTATGGTTTTGTTAAATCTGGCTTGGACTCTCCTGGCTTAGTGCTAAGGCTGATGCCATGAGTTACCATCTAGGGAAACTTTGCTCTGACAGCTCCTGCTAAAACCAAAGAGCCGAGACCTCATTTAAAACCTTCTGTAGTCCCTGGTCTCGAGATGCCTTCTATCTAGCAGATCTTTAATTTTGAGGAGGGTGAAGTTAGCCATGCTTCATGTGGGGCATGCTTAAGCGTGCGTTAATTCTGTTGCTTGCAGGAGTCTTCCTGGTGATGGTTAGGGGACTTCTCTACTCATAAAGCAACATATTTGCAAGATCAAGGTCCCGTATGATATTTTGTCTGGCATTTTGCAGGTGGATTAAAGGCTTGATTCATCAAGCAGAGCATTCATCTGAGGTTCTTAAATTAGGGGCTAGCGTGCTGATGGCTCCTTCACCGGTGAATGGAGAGCGTTGGGGACCTGTGAAGGCAAAACTACCCACCCCAGAGCCCCAGTGCCCTCTGGCAGTCCCCATCTCCCTCCATTGATTCCAGCAGGAACGCCGAGAGACGAGGTTCCCGGTGCAGGCGCCTTGGTTAAAATGCCTACGGTTAGGTTGGGATGAATCTGGCCCTTTGTACATTTGTGTGCCGGTGCCAATCCTGTAAATCCTCGCTCAGTGAAGGACTTCACTTATGCGAGCAAATATTGCCATTGGGTTCGGCAAGTGAGGACAACTTGTACATTTAGCGTGCTTCAGAACGCAAACTGCATAGAAGCATTCGAAAAGTTGAATAATGTCTATTATTCATTATAGAAACGCCACCACCTCTCCGGTGGAAATGGATAGGGATTTTCTTTGCAAAATACAAAGCTAGTTGTTTAATTATTCAGAGCTTTTAATTATAAAATATGTTGCTGTTTTGCTGCTAGAAATTGGCTGAAATGGTAAATTGAACCAAATAGATTGTTCACCCTTTGAAGTCTGAAATGTGTGACAAAAAAAAGCAATGCCTTGTTTATGTACTAAATTAGGTCCTGATTTAATGGGAACACCCATGGGGACAAGTGTAGGGGTAATGGGGTCTCTGTGTGAGAATTGGGGCTGAATTAGGCAAAAACTGTAAATAAACAAGTGGCCTTTGGAAAAAAATATGCTGTAAGATGAGAAAACAGCAAAATAATTTGGTTGTGCAGACACCTGGCGGGGTTTGCTATTGACACTAGCCGAGCCAGATTTTTCTCTTTGAATTTTGGCAAAGAGATGGGTCCAGTTGTGCGTGCTTGACTTGGTGAACATGAACCTCTCTCTGTTCCCTCACCGTTAATCTCGAGCTCTTTCCTTCCCGTTGGCCGATTTTCAATAGGAAGGAAGGACGGTGTTTCCATAAAGCGCGGTGAGCGCGTGAAGTTCCTCCAACAGCAAACACAGGGTTGTCTCCTTTCCTGGGCAAGTGCAAGCGGCTCTCCTGGCTCCTGGCTTAGAGCTTGGACTGCCAGGCAGTGACGGAGAAAGACAAGGGGAACCACTGCCTCTTCTGCTTAAATATTAAAAATAAGCTGCAGGGTAGTACAGGGCTTTGCACAAAGACTGATCCTCTCCTCCTCCTCCAAGGCTGGGGTTCCTTGGTTGTAAACTCCAGCTGTGTGCTGTGGATGGATTTATTTAATATAGGAGTGGGTTGATGGTTGCGTTTCTGCCAAACGAGCCAGAGTTCATGCTGCCTTTGCTTTGCCATGCCACGGAGGAGCAGCCGGTGTGAGGTTGGCACTCATTGCAGTTAGGTCGCACCTGAGCCAGACTCAGTCCTGTTCTGCAAAGACACCAAAGTATTTGCATCAAATTTGGCAGGTCAGAGTGAGTTTGTACAAGATCAGCAGGGCATTTCAGGGTGTTGCTGGTCCACAGTTAATGTTTGCTGAAACGGCAACCCGTTGTTTGAGAAAACCTACTCACTGAAGTCCTCAGGAGAGGATTGCACCTCTCTGAGCAACACGGTTGCTTTGGATAATACTTTCTGTACTGCAGATGCTTTAAATGTTTAACTTAGGTGTTGCAAGATGACAAAAGTTAGGAGTCTGAGCAGCATTCACCACAGCAAACTTTAGATACTGAAGGTAGTCAGCTAGGAGAGCAAACTGGTCCCTCTTAATTCCTTCTAGGATTAATAGGGAGACAAATATTCCTCCAGGGCATGATGACTAGAGGTGGACTTGCCTTCCAGGTGCCTTAGGTAGTTAGTCCATGCTGTGTTTACAGGTGTTGGGCTGATTGGGGAAGGATATCAAATGCAGAGCAGCTGGAATACATTTAACTGGTCAGAAATACAGAAAGGGTGAGCCTTCCTGGTCAGAGGGAGAGGATGCAGGGTCTGAGAGGTAAGGTTTTGGTTATGGCTGCATATTGATGAGAAAATACCTGTTGGGGTCAGTGGGATTTGTTCAGGCAATATGACTTCCATCTCTGGTCAGTGCAGCCCTTTCTGTCCTGAGAGTAAAAAGAAAATAAGTAATTCTAAGTAAGCAGATTTTCTCCAGAGAGGAATCTGTATGTGTGTGTGCAGTCCCGCGTGTTCATTATGGGACAAGCCTGAGCGAAGTGAGAGGTTGTTGACAGGAGATATTTTTCCAGTGGAGAGATCTAGAGGAAGGCCCACCTGGAGTGGTCAATGCTTGAGCTGAAGGATGACTGGAGTTCTCAAAAGCTGTGTTTTTCCCCTCATCCCTATTGGGTCGGGTTTAATAACCCACACCCCCTCTCTCCCAGGCCGTGTCTTGGACTTGCGATGAACCCGTTGCATTTCCTCCCTTTCAGATTACCCAGTTAAAGATTGAGAACAACCCCTTTGCGAAAGGTTTCCGCGGCAGCGACGACATGGAGCTCCACAGGATGTCCAGGATGCAGAGGTAACGTGTGCGTGCCTCCGTTATGGGGACTCACTCAGGACCACGAGAGACACCTGGGCTTTGCTTTACACGCCTCCTGTGGCTTAAGCTAAGCCAGGATTTATCAGTAGTCCCTTCTCTGGCACTTGCTTGTGCATTTTACGTCAAGCTGTTGAAATATCATCGGAACACAGGACCAAAATGTAGGATTTCCCACTCCGAGGTGAATGTGTTAACTGCTGGGTTACAGAGGCAGGATCTCCCTTGTGGGTTGTCCTCTTGGCCTCAGGGACCTTGTATTTCTACAGGCAGGATCTTCCTTGTGGGGATCTCCCCTCTTGGCCTCAGGGACCTTGTATTTCTTTCTGACATGTCCCCATCCAGAACAACCTCTACCTTGGTGCTCAGTAGATGGTTCTGTGGCTGCATGTGGGCTTAAACCTGTTTAAGGCAACAGGAGGGTTGGACTAGCTTTGGAAAGCTCTGGTCATTGGGCTACTGTAGAAGAGTGGTTGGGTATTTCTTTTTTCCCCAGGTGGTAGTACTTTAAAGACAAAGCTCAGAGCCTTGCTCCAGGAACAGGTTTATTAAGGATGCTCTAGTTGCCCCTGGAGATCTCAGTGTGGAGACCTGTGTTGTGCTGGTTTCTGGCTTTTGGAGGGTTGTTGGCAGGAGGGGAGTGTTTGCCTGGTCAGTTCTGGATGGGCAGAGCAGGAGTGTAGATGTGGTGGTTTCAGGTTGAAGAAGCGAGGTATTAGAAAAGGTTGGGATCGCCAGGGCCAGGTGGCTGAAGAGGTCTTTTTGAATCTCAGTTTTGGATGTAAATACTTAAGCTGAAAAATCAAGCCTAAATCCTGTTTGAAAATTCCTGTTTAAAGTCTTTTTCTAAATGTCAGGTCCTGCCGGTAATTAACTTCATGCCTTTCACTTCACTTGGAATTTTGTCTATGCGTCAAGTTGCTTCCTGGTGCAAACGTTTTGCAGGAGCGGTGCCATGCCCATGATTATATCTAAGACGATGTAGATGCTCAATATAGCATTTTCCATCCAGGAGGACAGGAGTGACTCAGAGCCCTTATTCTCCGGGACCAGCAGAGCTGGCTCTCAGTGGAGGGCTGTAGGGACCGGTGTTGTGACCTTCTGCTGGGAGGGCTGAGCGTGGTTCTCCATTGCCATGCAAATCGCACGGGCTGGCAACAAATAATGCCTGTAATCCTGCAAACGCTTACACCCGTAACCCAACTCGGATGGGCCAATGTACTCTTGTGTACAAACATTTTCAGGCTCAGACCTAGAAAAGCCAATAAATATATAAATTAA